TATACTGGAACGTAGATTTGTTCGCAGGTTTCGAGATTGGGAAAAATTTCGGGCAAAATTCTAGTAGACGCTTTAATTCCTATTGAATTTTAAAAGACACTGTTTTTTTCTGTAATGTTCGTTGAATTAATTAGACGATCCATTGGACGAAGTTACGAAAGGGTAGCTTTCGGATGGAGATTTCCGTCTCGGTGGAGCATCCAAGTTTTTCCAGATAAAATTATGAAGAACGTCTCGAAATTTACGTAGTCGTTTCGAGATAAGAAAGCTTCTCCTTTCATTTGTTCGCGTGGGCGACAGTTTTCCCGACTCGTAACTCGAGCTCGTGATGAGTCAGAACGCTATCTCGTTCTTGTTCGTCGTCGTCTACATTGGCGAGGGTGCAGTACGGATTCCTTGAATCCAGCATACTCCGGCTGTTCTTATGTTTTCCTTCCCAAGGACTGAGGTAGGAGAGCTGCTCGTTCGAAGTGTGTCTATCTCCTTCTTTTTTTTCTTCTTTTTTTAACGATATGGAAAAACGTGATTGCTCCGAAAGCTTTCCAGCGTTGATGGCGATGACATGGGGTGGAATTGATTTTTCTCATGAATAGAAGCATAGGGAAAATCCTGAGTCCATTTTCATTTGCTTTACTTATCATAGTGGTGACCCTTGAAGATCTTCGTGAAACGTAGGGAACAAGTACTATACAGGGTGAGCCACGAAAAACAGACTGCTTAATTATTTTCTCTAGTTATTTAAGTGGTTTCAAAGAGAAAAGATTTTTTTTTTAATGGAAGTTTCACGTTTAATTCAAAATTTTAGAGTCCAAGATCATTTTTAGTTTATGTCGTAAAGAAGTACATGTTGAAGTTTGGACTATGGTTACAATGTGATAACGTGTTCGGTTAATTCGAAGAAAGGCAATTATATTTTCGGATTAGACGTTCAGCGAGTACGGAGTATGAGACAATTCTAAATCTTCCGGCTAATCCTCGCTAATCCTCTCGTAACAGGGACATATTTTCATTGGCCGGTCAACCCCTGGCGTGAACCACCCTCTTTGAACGGGATGAGTTATGAAAACGATAACTTTTACAGAGGGAAACCCTCGCGAATGTATCTGTCAAGAAAGTAACTAGTTATGGTCGCGAAGAATAACGAATTTAGCGAAAAAAATCTCTTATATCGCTTGATATTCCAACGTTCTTGTTTTTTAATATTTTTCAGAAAATTTCTGAAAAAATAAGCTATCGTTGCGTAGGAATTATTTCAGCCGAGTCGGAATAAATTAGGCGGTAATGTTGTGGACTACGTTTGTATATAGAATTAATGAGAAATAATCAGAGGTTATCACAGTGTGAGCCATTATAAATGATCCACTTAAGTACCGTCGTTATTTTGGATTTCGCGGAAGAATATTCCACTTGGAGCTCGTATTCTTGAAAATGTACAAATTTTATTTAGAAATTTCAATTTATCATATTTTATATGTATCTTCTAATAATTTATCATTTCCTACGAATTCTACTTTCCAACGGTCTAATTTCCGCGTTCCCGTTGCGAATTTCCGTACATCGTCTCGTGACGGCTTCAGTTTCTGGAACATCTTGATAATATCCTTAAATCAACGAATTCAAACCATCAAATTGATCGCGGTAGTTAGGAACTTTCTACCAGGAACATTTAGATTCAAGATTGTCTCAACACTGCGCCACAGCTGACAATGTATTTTCTTACCTCGTATATACCATTGTACCACTTTAACTAGTCGGGAACGCACAGAGACGAAATAAGCTCGAGCTATTCACGAGAGGAACGAAGAAAGAACAGAATTGGGTGAAAAAATATTTATACAAAATTTCTCATACCGTCATAGCTAGAGAAGATAATTAGGCCCACCCTGTATACCGTCGACGCAGTTTTCACCCTTTCACTGCCACTAATTTTGAAAATTTGTCAATTAATTGTGTTGTGTTAAAACAACAATTTGTGTTTTACACATGTTACGTATGAAAATCTGCCGCAGCGAAAGGGTTAAAGCGAACGTCTCACTCACCCAACAATCTTACATCGACAGTTCCACAATCTTCTCTAAAATCTCGCCAGTGAAACGAAACTCAACCCTTTCCAACAGAACCAAACAATCGCAATCAATCTCGTCCAACCCAGAACCCCCGACAGCATTATTCCTCCCCACTCCCTTTAATCGGAACTTAATTACAACGTCACTTATCGCGGCGATAAGCGAAGCTCGTTCACCGAGCGAGAAAAGGAAAAAGAAAAAACTGACCCGATAGCATTCTTCGTTGCGGTGATTCTCGGCTCGCAGTAAATTAACGGGAAGCCGTTGGCGACTGTGGGTAATAAAATCATAGTCACGCGACACCGTTTCTCCCCGCGTCGGCTGTTTTCCGTTCTGGCGGCGATCGAAATAAATCACCTGGCGACTGTTACTCCCGGTGAACTTGTTTCCCGATTACAACAGCCGTACAACACCCAGGGTCCCTGCATTTATCGTGCACGACTTAGCGTTTCCATGCTTCCTCCTCCTCTCGTGGACCAACGTCGGGGTTGCCCGCCCATTAATAGCCAGTTGAGTGTGAAGCGGAACTTTTCTCCTTGTGCCTCGTAATAACACCGCGCTCGTATAAGCTGGCTTCTTGGTTCCGTGAAAGAACTCGACCCTGGACCAATCACCGCTCCTCTCTCTCTCTGTAGCTAGCTAAAAACTAGAGCAGACCTGGGCTGTGGTATTAAGAAGTTTTCACCCGGTCTTTCACGGCGGTGCTGCTCCTCGTCTTCTTCCTTCCGCGATTCTTCCGCAGACGTTGCGCCGGCCACTCAACCCGATGACGTTCGCCTTCCCGAACCGTCGGAAACTTTATAAATATGACGGGGTTGTTGGACAGGGAGTAGCAAGTGGCTGTTGCCGGGAGGACGGCTGAAAAAGACTACAATGAACGGCGGGAGGTACGTCGCGTTGGTTGGCCGGGCTCGTATGCCCGAATTAATCCTTTTTCGAGCAGCGAGACACTTGGTCGCGCATGAATTATCGATCGCCTATGCCGCGTCGAACACGCTACATTTACCTTCTGATGATAGTTAATAATCTGATGGCCAGGCCTACAAAGGACCGAATTACTGGCCGGATGGAAAAGCGGGCGATCGCGTGGCCCTCGTGAGCCGCCACGTTTCCATGCATAGGGTGTTAATGAATTACGCGGAACGTGGTACGTAGGATGGGAGAACGAGAGGTTTTTTGAGTGCTGGTTTCGATGGGAGAAACGGGGGAAAATGTGATGGGTGGTTCGTTAAGGAAATTAGTGCGAGCGGTGATTAGGAATTAGGAGCGACGATTGAAAGAAGCAATTTTGTCTGGGGGTTTTGGGGAATTCTTGAATGAAATTGTGTCGGTAGTGGGGGGAACTTATTGAAATCTGTTTCTGAGGGAATAGATGTACACTGCTGTCTATGAGTATTTTGGACAGCTATTTTGTTCTTGTGTAAAGTATTGTATGATTTAAATTACATTTCCTCGGTTCTCTGATGAATAATGTTTCTTTTGTGATCTTAATAATTTTCAATAGATTTTAGCAGAATTCGGTGTGCTTCGTATTCGGAAAGTGTCCCAATTCAGAACAGGAGTAGGGTAGATAATAGAAAAGTATTGACGAGAAAAAAATGGAGGGTTGATATTCTTCGGTCTTTTTATTCTCCTGAGTATATTTCATATCTTGC